TCTGTCTAATCTATGAATAAAATGTAAATTAATGTATTGAATCTCATTCTTTTCTAATTCTTTGCAATAGATATGCTTCTGTCAGACTCCATTCATTCACTAATTAATATACAGCGCGCCTAATACATTTTTTTACTAATTTTTTCCTTGTATTTTTAAGGGGCTGCTGATTAAGTCACTTAAGTGCTTTTAACATTTTCTTCAGTCATCTCTTGAAGTCAAAAACATCAAGGTGAAATTATATTTGTGTTATATTCTCTAGTCTTCTATACTATAATAACTGAACTCAACTGCGTAAAAATTAATAAGCAAGTCTGAAGAATTTATTCATATAAAAAATTGCTAAAATACAGTTAATTTATGCTAATAATTTAATACATGCAGTTTAAAATGTAATAAAATCAATTTTGCCAACTAATAAATTGATTTATGTATCAGTTCATCTGATGCCCATACTGCTAATGTTTCATATTTGGGAGTTTAGCTGGGACTGGTAAAGTACAGTTCATTAAACCCCAATCTAAGAAATAATTTATGTTTTCTTTGTCTCATACATATATTAAAAATTCAAATAGAGTAAGTATCATTGCTGTGCAGTCCCTGAAAATTTACATAAGATAAATATTATGATACATTATGCTTAATATAATATAATTAGTTACCTGCATGAAACCGAGCTACATGTGTACTGGATGGTATTATGTAATATTTGCTGATGGATTTATCAAGATTTCTTACTGTTTTTGTTTTTAATCTAATTAACGTTTCCGTCTTGAACACATGAATAAATGGCCACGTCTCTGCATTGAACCATATAAATGTCATATTCTAACTTACACCCTCCCACACCAGACTTCCAAATGTTAATATATATAAGTATGAAATATTATATGAAACGTAATATATTCCTGTGCATAAATTTTGTTGGGATGACAATTTTAAATGCAGCCAAAGAGATGATCAAGTCATAAAATATTAAATGTCTGCATGTATATGATAATACAGTATTAGAATATTGAATACAATATTATTAGTTGCAAACTTTTGAGGACTAAAAGAATGTGGAAACAGATTTTATCCTACAAAGTTAACAGTTCTACAATCCAAAACTTGGTTTTCCTCTAACTCATCTTCCGCTACAGTAGTCAGTATATCAAGACTATTGACAGAAATATGTAGTATGATTAAGTGAGGGGCATGCTAATACAAAATGGTGCTAAATTAACCAAGAGCATTTGCCTAGTATTGTAATGAAGTATGTACATCTTGTTTTATGTATTGTGAGTGCTGATATTTCAAAGAATATATGTGATTTATAGTATAATTATTCTTCACTTCCATCATTGAGTCATATTTAACATCATTTAAAAATAAATTACTTTATACTCGCTGGTAATTATAAAACCTCGATTTTTGTTATAAATATATTTATATCATAATGGACTTGTTTAAAAAATACGTAAACTTGTACATTAACACTGACTGCAGAAAGGGCTTCAGAAATGCACTTGCCCAGTCTCCACTCAATATTAAAAGAATGTTATGGACTCACTACCTGACCTTAGAACATGGTAGTCTACACCTATCAGCCATTTTATATGAAAACAACCATTTTGTCATACCTTAAGTTTTAGATTGTTTCTAACACAGGTTTTAAAATAAAACATTTATTTGTTTATTTGCAAAGTACTGATTATAGTAGAAAAAAACTTGATTTAAGAAAAAAATATAATAAGTGTCATAAAAAATATTTCAGGTGTTTTAAAACAAACATGCATACACACCACTCATAATTTAAAACTGTTATATACCTTTTGATTTTATTTAGCTATTGTTCCCATAATTCAGATGTGATCCCAAAAGGGTAACAATTTCTGCTAGACCAATTTTATGAGTACCCTTTTTCAATTTTATGTATCCATAACTTTGAAATAAATTTATATTTGAAAATTAGTTTTCATTTACAAAACAGAACTTCTAATATGATGTTGGAAATAAAGAATAATTTCAAGACCAATGTGTAAAAGTATATGATGTGTGTGAGTGTATTAAGAATGTAATTTTTTTTTTCTGTTGCGTTCATTATCAGAAGACAAGGCCACTTCTGGTAAAACAATTTCTTACTTCCAAGTGAAAAGGTCTACATGTGTTCATGTATGTAAGATGAGGCACAAGATCTTATTTAGAGAATAATTTGCGGAATGTGTGTTATAATCAAAATATGAACAGAATACAGTAATTAATATTGCACTTTATCGTATGGACAAGGTACATCTACTTGTTTTTATTTGCGTTGAAGAGAGTGGATGACAAATCACGTGTTGAAAACATATGCTAATGTAGGCTAACGAGACATTCATATGTAATAAACACGAAAGTTATAGTGAATGGTGTAAATGTTTTCGCACCACAAAAAAAACTTCGTTCATTTTTATCACTGCCCTAAATTAGAGCTTTAAAAGATGACATTCCAAGGACAGAAGCAGAGTAAGAAAATGAAGATTCAGCTCTTTAAGGACTAGAACATTTTTAAAAGAATTGTGTATCTGATTTTTTGCACTACGTTTAGTGTTGATGGAATATGTGTTTTAAAATGAGCAAGCATTTTACAGTATACTAGCTGCATAGGAATTATTGGAGTTGATGCAAATGTAGTCAAAAGAAGGCAGCTTCAATGTAAAAATTGTATGTTTATATCTGACTCTATTAACCAAAAAAAGAAAACGCAAAAAAAGGCATCAGCTTTTAATTCGTTTGGTGAGAAGTGGAACTTTTGACCTATCATTGATTGATGCTGTCGTAACGCAGTCTGAGCCCACAAACTGCAGAGAATTGTATAACTTTCATGACGTAGATTATAATTCTATTGTTCATGGTTAGGTTACATTGAAGTGAACTACAATATAATCAAATGTTTGGTTTTATGAAGGACCTTGGTTGTCTGTGTGCGTTACTGGAACAGATTTCATAATCTTTATTGTAGGAATGTGCTGCCAATTTGTTAACATTGAGCTTATTCCAACAAAATATATTTTC